GTTATCCTTGCTCAGTGTTATCACTCAGTTATCCTTGCTCAGTGTTTTCACTGATCAGCAGCCCGTCCTTGCTCCACTGAACAGCAAACTCTCCTTGCTCAGCCCTTCACTGACAAACTTATCAGCCTGCTTAGGCTGAGAGCCCTGCTACAGATGTCTGTGAGAGAAGTGACCTAAGGTAAAATTGGGACATGGATGGATATTTCTTTTAGTCTTTGCTAGTGTGCCACTTTCATGTAATTGAGAATCTAATTTATTCTGGGGTTCTTATGTATTAAAGCTGCACCTCAGATTTCAGTTTTATTCTCAAGTGTGAAAGAGCAAGGTTCAAGCTGAATTCCTGCTGGTGAGTGATTCTAGGTATCACATCTTGCCAAAGCAGGATCCCATTGCCACCTCACAGTCTATGTGCATTCTGTCTGCCTTACTTCTATTACTAGGCCATCTCAGATGATTCAAATATTTACCCCTTTGTCCTTTTTAATGCAGAATTTGTCTTCAACCCTCCCCCCTCAATGAGTTGCATGTTTTGCTTCTGTTCTGCTGGTCTGTGAATTCATTGTTTGCAGGCTGGCAAGGCACCAGTTTTGGGGTGACAGATGGAGCAGACTGCAAACCAGGCAGTTGCCTCCTAGCCTGAATGATATTTTAATAAGCACAGAGAGGTGACAGAAATAGAAGCTTCTCACTGGAAAGACTGGCAGTTTTGTTTCCAGTCTGAAAGCACTAATAGATAATTTTTGGCCTCAGTCCAAAAAAAAAAAAAAATCCAGAAAATCCTATTAGCTTCTAACTTTTTTAAGGGTCAAAGAAGTTTTACTGTCTGTTCTGTTATCCATTTAGGGAGTTGTTTCCCCATTTTTGGTATTTCAGTTCTCTCTCAGAAACTGTACACTTTAGGAGACTTTCCTTTTACTTGCCATTTTCTTTTCCTTCTTTTATTTTATTATTTCAGCAATTTTCCCCATTGTCTTCCTTCCCTAAACATTCCTTCTTCTTCATATTTCTTTATACTTTTCACAGATTCATGTTGGGATATTGGGATCTACCAGCTTACTTGGCTTCCAGCTTCCACATCCTGTGAAACAACTACTGCACTGCAAGGCAATGGCATCTGCATGGGAATCTCTAGAGCATATGTCCTCTTCTCCCTGCCCTTCAGCTGTGTCTCAGTTGTATAATACAGGGTTTGTGTAGGGCTTTGTTTCATCCATGGTCTTATGAATAAAAAAAGGTACAACAAAAGGGAGCTCTGGCAAACCCCCAGCAAGCTCTGAGATCCCTCTGAAGTATGAACAACATGGTGTTTTGCAGACAAGCTGTAGGATAGTCAGGCTTTCAAAGGAGAAGATGCTTCTTCTTTCCATGAGTACAGGTTAAAAAAGATCCAGCTCTCAATAGGAAAATATGAAAGTGGTGCTGGGATCAGAACTACAGTGTGGTCCCATACACTGCTCAGAGAACACACTGGAAATTTCTCAATATTGGACATAGATCTTCATGTTTATTTAACAATATTCAGGTCTGGATTTCAACTTGTGTGTGAGCTGTAAATTAATGCTATTCCTGCTAAAATATACTTTTTTTTTTCTTCCAGATACAATGATGACACTGAACATTCAGATCATCTTTGGCCTCCTTTGCTGCATGACTTTTCTTCCTACAGATGGCTTCCCAGCAGACACCAGTACTGAATTTCGCTCTGCTTTCTCTGTGGCCAGAACCAGCAGCATGGAAGGGAGCTCTGAGATGGTGATTACCTTTGACAAAGTGTATGTGAATATTGGCAATGATTTTGACCCCAAGACTGGATTGTTCCGCTGCCGGATCCCAGGAGCCTACTACTTCTCCTTCACCGTTGGGAAATACCCCAAGAAAAACTTGTCTGTCATGCTGATGAGAAACAAGAATGAGGTGCAGGTAATTGTGTATGACGAACATCACCGCAAGGAACGCAAGGTGGCCAGCCAGAGTGCCATGCTGCAGCTTGACTACGGGGACACAGTGTGGCTGCGTTTACATGGAGATCCCAAGTACGCTCTTTACAGCAACGTGGGGCCCTATACAACTTTCAATGGCTATCTGATCTATCCAGATACTTCTGCATTCTTCCAGAATGCTCTTGACTCTCAAGAGCTCGGGCCACACCCTCACACAATTCAGCAACTTCCCAGAGAGCAGAATGAAGCTTCACAGCGACGCGTGTTGTCTGACCAGCCAAAGAGGGTACAAGACCCTCGCTCTGCGTTTTCTGTTGCCCGCTCACAAAGTCTCCTGGGGACAGATGAGAAGCAAACCCAGCACGAGCCAATCACATTTGATACAGAGTTCGTGAATATTGGAAAAGATTTCAATTCCTCCACTGGCGTCTTCACGTGCCGTATTCCTGGTGCATACTATTTCTCCTTCACCATTGGCAAAATGCCCTTTAAGACTATGTCAGTGAAACTGATGAAGAACCACAATGAGGTGCAGGCCATGATCTATGATGACAACCACTCCAAGCGGCGGGAGATGCAGAGCCAGAGCATCATGCTGCCTCTGCAATACGGGGACACCGTTTGGCTCTACAGCCATCAGCATGATGGCTATGGTGCCTACAGCAACCACGGCAAGTACATCACCTTCACAGGCTTCCTCATCTATTCAGAGGCTCAGCCAAAGTGGCTGCCAGGTGCCAACTCACCTCAAGGGTCAAACAATTAAATGCAGCTGTGAAAGGAACATAAGAGCCAAGGTGCCATGAACTTGGGTACAGCTTCTCTGAATATCATCCTCTACTTTGAGCATGCTGTCATGTGTCCAGTGCTTTCCTTAGCTGCACGCTTGTGCCCTGTGTCCAGGGCCGCTGCTGTGTGTGCCATTCATCTGTAGAGAGGCCTTTCAGGTTGTAGCTGTGTGTCCCGTGTTGGTGTTTGATTTAACATAAAGCATGAGGTAGTTTTGGGGCAGGGGTGGGGCACTGTAGTGAGATGCTGAGGATCAGAGAGCTACTGCAGTCATGTTACTGCAGACCTCCAGCATCCAGAGACAAAAGGGTATGGTGACTTTCCTTGTTTATCCAGGGAGGGAATAAATGTAATGGAAATGAATGTAATAAAAATACAAAAGATGAGAATGGTCTCCGTTTGAATTTTTGCTACTTTGTGAGACTTGTGTGCTTGTCAAGGGGTGAGGTACCAGCCAGTACTGAGCTCAGGTGAGAGAGATGCATGGTAATTGTGCGAGCTGAGGATGTGTTACTGAGCCAGTCTGTGTACACTCTAATCATTTGTGTGTGTGAAGGGTTGGTACCTCTTATGATTTTATTGCAAGTTTCACAGTGGTTTGTGCTTTTCTTTATCTGATGTAGATGAAGTCAAGAAGCTGTGATTGAGAATCTCAGCTTCCATTTAATGTAAAGAACACATTTAGAAACAAACAAAACCGCAGGCTTCTTGTAGTGAAAGATAAGGGCTCAAATCTGTGAATGGACCATGCTCTGAAAGCCCAGAAGCAAGGTAAGTAAGAAGAATAAGAAATGTGTTTTTAAATCTCTAAAGATTTGGATCAGGAGCAGGCTCATAGCACCAAGTGTGAGTAGCACCGCGGCAGCAGTGCCGCTGCTGACCGCAGGGGCGTTCCCTTGCCCAGAAAGGGGCCCCTCGAACACGAGGGGCTGCACCGACAGCCTCCTGCAGGCGGGCTCAGAGGAGCCGCGGGTGATGTTTTCAGCATCCATGTTTCAGTGGTGTCGTACGTGCCGAGTTCCACCGAGAGTTTTCCCTGTGGAGAGGCTGCTGTGGTTGTAGAGGACGCTGCTGTGTTCGTACAGTCCGACAAATAGACGGGCGCCCGGCGGGATCCGGGATCCGCTGAGGAGGTAGTGGGAGCACAGGAGGCTTCATCGTAGCACCACTGGTGCTGTTTCACTTGAGCTAAACCCTGTTTTTTTACCCCAAAAATACATAAACTGCAAAAGTGCATCATCTTAAGCATGTACAAAGCTTCATGGCATCACTTCAGTATGCTTTATAATCCATTCAACAGGTAGCAATGCTCTAAAACTGCTCCTAACAAAATCCTGAGTTCAAAGCAGTGTGTTGGCATCCGAGTCACAAGCCAACCCACCCAGCCTTTTTCCATATATTCGTATGGCTCAGGCTGTACATTCTCCAGCAAGACAGTATTTTAATGCACTAGTGCCATCTCAGCTCAGCTTTTTGATGGTACACTGGACTTGAATGCAGCCACTCACTGCCTCTGTCACTCCTTACATATCCTAGACATTAAAGACTGGGGGCATATTTGGCAAAAGGGTGAAGAGTAAAGATTGGAAGTATGTAAAAAACCAGCATAAGAATAATAGAACATTAGATGAGACAAGAAGTTTTACTTCAAATAAAATTCTAATTTTAATTCCTATATCCTTTGGGGTGAAAAACAAACAAATAAACAAACAAAAAGAACCCCAAACCAAAATAAAACAAACACACAAAACAAAAATCCAGCAACAAACAATCTGTTTTAAATGTATCTCCTTCTGTCATAATCCTAAACTGACCTCTAAAACCATTGTCTGTAGCATCTTGCTCCCAGGCTCCTTGTTCCTGCCTTACTATTTCTTCTCTCCATCTGTTGGGCTACAATGGCTTGGAATAAGATTAACTAGGTCAGAAACTGCAGTTCCCACTTTGAAGGTCGTATATGCCTCTTTTGTCGAACATGGAAAAATTATATTGATAGAAAGAAAATTATGGATCCCATCCCATTAAGCACATGCAATGAATGTTCAAAATTGATGTTCCTGTAGTGGTAGCAGGAAATACGGTAGAAAAAAGAACCAAAATCAAAACCCTCCTGAGGAGATAATTATATTTATTTCATTCCACACTGCAGTGTTTAAGACAGACAAATGTTAACAATGTTTTTCTGTAAAATAATTATATTTCTGATTTTGAGAATAGAGACTATGTATTTATTATGTTTGGCTTGTAAAATGCCATGTCTGTATTAAAAAAAAAAAAAACCAAAAAAAACCAAAACACTTTATAGAAGAGAGGCAAAATCTGCTGAAGAAATAACTAGGTCAGGATCCTTCAGAATTTAAATGAGATTTCAGGAAGCATATTCCAAAATGATAACTGAAACAAAGCTGTGTATATGTGTAAATATGATATGCAAATACTAGAAATCTTTGTGGAATACATACATTTTCACATTGCTTTTTAAAGAAAAATGAATACATGAGACGGGAAATTGCTGTTGACATATAAAATATGATGCCACATGAGGAGAAAAATTAAATTAAATATGTGACCTATATCATGGAACACAACAAAACCTGCTTAGCTGCTACTGGAGAGAAGATCTTGTATTTGTCTGAAACCACAGGGAGAATATAAGGAAAGTGAACTGAATTATCTGAAATGAAGTCAGCTGTGACACCAGCATAATATCCTGGAAAAATACTTCCAAACCATCTCTCCAGAGCATCAGTGGTCAAGATAGATAAGACATCTAAATAGCACTGCCCCCTTCAGCACAGCCCACTTAGGAAAAAATCAGAAAAGAGAGAAATGCACTTTACAGTTTTGTCTTTTTTCATTTAAAAATAAAAGCTTGTGCATAAATCCTGAGAGGGTTACCAGCACAGTGCAGAAAGCAGGACAAAAAGGTGTGGCATATTTATTTGAAATCCTGCATACTGTGGAAAGCATTGAAAATAACCAAGAAGGCAGCTGAAGCCAGGTGTGCCCTTTCCTACGGTGGGTTCCCTCATTAGGTGTCTCTCTTGGTCCTGGCCAGGTTAGAGCGATAGAAATGTTTCAGGGATGCTAAATGTGAAGGCTTCTCCTTCCAAGGCCAGGAAGCCTGGAGGAGAGTGGTATTTGCAGGGCAGAGCCCCTTGCACAGGTCACGAAAGATTTCATCAACCAGCTGAGAGAAAAAGCCAATCCAAGGGGTTTTATCCAGACCCTGCGTGGAGCGAACCTGATAGGCACTGTAAACACTGGTGAAAAGGAGACGGTCAAACTCTGTCGGAGGCAAGGGAGTGTCAGTCAGTGAATAATATCTCAGATGCTGCTCAATCTCTGCCGGTGTTTTGGGGACTTCCTCCTCTAAAATCTGCAGGAAGCGCCGTGCCGGGCGTAGGGAGGCCAGCTCTTCATCCCGCAGACGGATTGACCCGTTGGCCTGAATATCCAGCCTTCCCCAGAGCATCTGGAAGAGAGGAGCAGCGCTGTCACGGAAAGCCCAGCACAGCCCCATCCCTCACAGAGGCGCTGCGAGCAAAGCCCTCCGCGGCGCGGCCGAACAGCCCTCGGGCGGGCCCAGAGGCGGCCGCTCCCTCACGGCCGGCCTAGTCCCGCTCCGTGTCCCTCTCTGCCGGCCCCACACCTCGTTTCCCCGTGGGACCCGTGTAGTTCTCGCCTCCCCCCCTGCTGTCCCCCCGCAGTCCCGCCTGCAGCAGCTCCCCGGTGCGGCCGCCTCGGCCGTCACCAAGCCCAGCGGGGATGGTCGCTTGTCCCTCCGCGGACACCCCGTGAGGTGCCACGGCGTGGGGCACAGCCGCCTTGGGCTGCACCCCGCCCGGGGAGGGAGCACAAATGCTATTAGGCATCGACGAGGCATTCTCCAGGGGCTCCTGAAATCCGTCAGGGATGAGAACAAACAGAACGGGTGAGTTTTTACGTGCGGGCAGGTGGGAGCATGGGCCCTGACAGTGCCTCGGCCCAGGGCCCCCAGTGCTCAGGAGACCTCTAACATGATGCCAGCGTCCTCTGGGCCACGACGGGCTCTGTTGGTGCCGCTGTGAGGATGTTCATCTGGAAGACATCAGACAGAGCTTGGTAGCACAAGACCTTCCTGTTTACTGTTTTTGCCGTTTGATTGTCAATAACGTCTTCAGCATTCCTGAGCTACCACTCAGCTTGCCAAATATGACAGATGCTGACCACGGGATTTTGATAAGCAAAACAAGCTTTTTAAGAGAAGCAGCAGCGGTTGAGGCGAGGTTTTGGATATCACAGCCTTTAGTGCTGCCAGTAGAGCTAAAGCATACAGCAGCAAAGGCACTGCTTTGACAGGCAGCAAGGAAGCCTCTCACACCGAGAATGGATGGGGTTTGGGCTGGTGGGTTTGGTTGGTTAGCAGTTTTTGCTGGAGAAAGTAATGCTGCCCAATGAAAGGAGCATGCTGGCAGGCTCCTCAAGCTGCTGCTGGAAATATAAACTGATGCTTATTCTAGTTTTCTACTTCTTCCCTAAGCTTCTGCTGCTGGAAGAGTGTGAGGATAAAAGAAACCTTGTCAGATCCATTATGGCTGATTTGATGTCCAGCTAATTACTTGCTGGGATGCATGACATCATGTAACCTGGGAAAAATAGATGTGAGGCCAGAGGAATGGCAGTTTTTTAATATGAAGGTCACATTAATCCTAAGAATTGTTTGATTTTCATTTCCTGATGCTTATAGTGCTTTAACTGTCTGCATTTATTTTATTTCTTTTTTGTGTGTATGAAAAAGGAGGCACAAGCAGTCTTGGTCCAGGACTGTGAGGGAGAGGCTGCATCCCTTCCCTCCTCTGTGTTATCAGTGTCATGAGGTAGCCAAGACTCTCTTCTACTTCTTACAGACTCATCCTTCAGGTTAAGAAACATGAAATGGAAAAAGCTCATATAAAATAGTAAGCTCTCTGATATATTTATGGGTTTTTTTAATTTTTAAATGGATGAAGGCTTTTTAATATATATATATATATGTGTGTATATATATATATATTTTTTAAAAAGAGTATTTACATTAAATACCCCAGAGTTAAAGTCAGCAGGTGCATATAAAAAGTAGAAAAATGTTTATTACTATACATGTGTGATGACTGCTACCAAAAGATACTTCCAAATCTCCATTTTTGATTAGACCTTTTCAGGGAGATGCACGAGCTGCTTGGAAAAGTGCACTGCCAGCCAGCAGGCTGCAGAGGTTTGTTTCTCTGCACAGCTGCAGGCTCTGTGATCCAAGCCAGCTGTGGCTTTGGAATGTGAGCAGGGATGTAGCTTCTTTTTCCTGCTCCTCCACAGATGTACCAGCAAAGCTTTTAGCTCAGGTGAAAGCATTATTTCATCTGAAGATTTCTTTGGTGGTACTGTCTCTAGTACCGATGCTCTCGCCTCACAGACCCCTCTCCTGAGAGATGTCTGACTGGCTGCAAAGTCAGTGCTTTTGTTGATTAGGTGCCAAAGTGCCGTTATTAGGAACTGCCTCACAAATACACACTTTTTCTCTTTGAGTAGAGAAAAATTTAACAAAGCATAACAAATAATGTATTGAAATAATAACATAACTATCCTCTGGGGAAGGGAAAATCCTTACTTATTTTATCACTCAGCAGGGTTGGGTGGGGTTTTGTATCCCAAAAAGCATGTAAAAAAACCACAAACAGTATTGCAGGAGATTATTTTTTCAGTGGAGACGCAAGAAAATCCTCCCCTTGCCACCAAACACAGCAGCAGGTCTTCAGCCTGCAAGGAGGTACCAGTGCCCCCACCAGCAAACCCCCCCAGCTGGACTCCAGCTCTATCCCGTGCCAGTGCAGCTTCCTGAGGCCTCGGGCCACATTTGAAGGAGCGGCAAAGCATCACACAAACGGCATTGCACAAAGGTCTGCCAAGCCATGCAGCCGTGTCGCTAACAGATGTGCTCCCTACCTGTCAGCCTCTGGAATGCAGCAAACACACACAGGAGCAGCCAGGAGCTGAGCTGTGCCTGGGCCATGGCAGCACTGCCCCAGCAGCTGCCACCCGCTCCGCGCCCCAAGCCACAGCAGCTCGCCTGGGGCGTCTTCCCGTGCTGCTTCGGATCCCAGCAGCCTCTCTTGGAAAGGATCCATCTTTCTGTGTTTCTGGTCACAGCCCTGGGAAGGGCTTGCAGTTCAACTTGTTGACCCCGAAGGATATTTTCCGTCATATTTTGGAAACTTGGAAAACTTTGTTGTGATGTTTTTGGCAGAATTGTTTAAGCTTCCTTTTCGAAGATTGACTTTCCACTGCAATGATTATAGGAAACTGTTAGTTGCAAGAAATTCCACTACACGTTTGTTTGCCTCTTAAGAAGTGAGGAACCCCTAGTCCCTTCCATCTCTGCACAGTGCCTCTGTCACATTTCAGTTTTCCTTTTTCTGGGTTCAAAAATCTGAAAACAATCCTGGAATGTCACAAACAGATAAAGCTAGCAGACTGCAGATTCATGGAAGGGCAGTAGCAGCCAAAACATACAAACAGGCAGAAGAAATGTGACACTATCGGTTCTGTATCAACCCCCCACCCCCCCATAGGGAGAACTCAGTAAAGTGACCTAACAAACACCAAGTATCAAAGTGGCTCAGGCTTTAGCGCCTCATCGTCCTCTCCTGTGAGTGGATGTCTGGGTTACAGTGAGCACAGTCTGCCTTAGATGTTCTAAATTATATAGACAAAATTTTATTCACTTTACAGCAGATATCTGTTCTCTGCACGTCTTTACATATTTATTAGTGCCCAGTCCCCAGTCAAACTGTTCTGTATTTCTACTCTGTATGGCACAGAATGTAATGCCAGGGTTATACAAATATGCAGTAATATGTATAAATGAGTACTAATACCATCTCTCTCAGGTTAAAGAGAGAAAGAAGTCTGCCTAGAAAAGAGAGAAGGTAAAGGTGAAGTCCATCTCTTGCTCAGCAAGTCAAGTCACAGGACATCAGTCATTGCATACTGTCACAAGATAGTGTACTAACGGCTGGGATGATGTCCTGGTTGGTACTACCTCCTGCACATAATGGAGGAGCCACAGAGGGGCCCACAATATCCAGTACCACTCTTCCCCTCAGCTTGGATTCAAAGCAAGACCTGTGTTTTCTGTCATAGGCTTAGGTATCTTAGGTCATGCTGCACTGCTTTAGTTTTTCATGATTTTCTGCTGCTTACTCTTCAGTTGCATTCCTTTCTTCTTTCATTAAGCTGAATCACAAGCTACCCCAGAGGCAGACACTTATGGCCCACCTGTGCAGGGGGATTGTTCTGCCTTCTCCTTTGTGCCAGAGTCCCTTTTAGGCCACAGTGTATGCATGTTGTCTAGAAGCCACTATGGAAAAACCCCTGTGTTTTGCAGGCCATGAAACAGCCTCCCTTTAACTTGCAGCACATGACATGAAGAGGATTGCCCAACAGGATTTTGGCCAACATCTGTGAGAGCTGTACATGATTTTGTCAGCTGGAGAATTTCCTAGGAACAGCTTGCAGCTGAAGTGCCTAGAGGAGGACAGCCACGTTGGTGGGAGGGAGAGAGAGGAGCCTTGGGGCTGTGCTCAGGTGACTGACACAGTGGCAGATGAGGGACAAGCATCAGTGTGGATGCTGCCTTGAGCTAGGGGAATTTTGTAGAATTACCTCACTGTCCCGCAAAGAAAGACCATTTTAGAGTGATAAACATATTCCTTAGCTGTCTGTACAGCAGCAATACTTGCACAGAAACAAGGCTGAGTTTCTGACAGCTGCACAAAGCCCCTGCATGTACGACTGCAATGTTAGGCAATGCACCTGCTCCTCCTGAAGGATTTTGTCCTTGCCAGGTACTCACAGCTGATCACAGCCCTGCCACTCTGCATTCCCCTGGCCACACCATCTGTTATTGGAGCAGTTTCAAAACGTCACAAGCCAGGTTTATGCAGGGACAACTTGACTGGTTTCTTCTTTTTCACCATGACCTCCTGAAGCAGGAACATGGGAAATGAGAGCAAGAGAAGAGGGGTCAAAAACTGCAGGAACTGGTTGGATGCTGATTGAGGCACAAGGTGTGGTGCCAGAAGAGCCTCTTTAGGAGGGGACTTTCTTTGAAGTAGGACTTCAAGGAGACAGCACATTCACAAAAGGTAAATTCTCCTTCAATTTGAATTGAAATCCTTCCTCAATTCAGTGGAATTGAAGAAACCGCTTGCTTCCATTGTCTCACCCGGAATTTGGGGAGATTGCTCCCCAGCCTGATGTTGTCTGGCAGATGCTCAGGGAATGAAGAAGATTGCAGAAAGAGGGGAAGGAAGAAGAACATATGTGACTCCCAGGAAAGGTGTTGTTTGAGTTACTGGAGTGGAAGAAGTAAGAAAACCTTGAGGGAAGCAGGAGTGAAGCACTGACTGTAACCAGATAGGACCTCTGTAATACTGGTATTTTCCAGGTAAGGTACAGCCAGTCCTTACAAGGATGCTTTCCTTGTATTTTTGTTTCAGTTTGTGAGCAGCATCTACTGCTTGAAAGAGTAATGAGCTGCATAAAAGTGACAGGGAGGGCCCCATCCCACCACACCTACTGCACCTGAGGTAGGTAGACACTGTCAATAGCCACATCCCAGGGAGGACAGTCTGCTTGCCTGGCTGTAGGGAGAAATGCCAGAGTTCTGGAAAACACCAGCAAAACCTACTCAGCTGGAGAAGCTCAACACAGTGACTGTGAGTCATTGCCTTAAGTCTATCTATCCCTTCAGTACCAGAAAATCTCTCTTCTGTATATATGTCTGTAAGTCAGCTACATCTGACTTACATCTCATCCCACATCCTCCTGCAGCTGAGGAATCCAACCCAGGCAAATAAACCCCGCAGAAGCTTGCACTATGCAACAGGCAGGGACAGAGGATTTGGAAGACAGCTTTGTGCTTGGCCAAGTTGACCACAGCCTTGTCCAGCACAAAGCAAGTGTCCACCAACCACAGCCACAAGGATCCCAGAGTGAGCAGGCTCCATGAGGAAAACGGCCTCTGGAGCTCAGGAGCAGTAGAGGAAGCAGAGTGCACAAGTATTCTCTGAGGCTGTGCAACCTCTTGTGCCCTGGGATAATGAGCCTAGGTGAGTAAATTGCAGCCTTCCTGATCTCCCAGGCTTCACTAATGAGAAGAGATTCAGGTTTACTTGCAACTATTCCACATATTGAAGACATGCTGGAGCCAATGCCTGATCCCACAGGGCTGGCTATTTTTCCAGGGTACACATTCTTGGGCAAACCTTGCATATTGTCTAACTTGACAGGTATTGTGTCTGACATTTCTTGATGTTGGTCAAATTCTCTGTCTGCACAAACATTAATTTTAAAAGGCAAATTTCCTAGTTTTCCTGTTACCATCAGACTGACTTGCCATACTGGGAAATGCAAATTTTTATAATATATAGACCGTAAGTCTTGGTGTGGTGTCTCAAGCAACCTGAGATAAAGGAGCACACAGAAAGGAAATGTGGTTTATAAAGAATTTTCATGGTGATAGAAGTGGCACCAGAAACTTTTGTCTTGCCCAATAGGCATCAGCATGCTGAGAGCCACTGCAAAGAAAACAACCAACTGTGGAACATCTTGTAGAAAGAACTAGAGTTTGTTTCCTATTTAATCTGCTCAGTTGAAGACAGATCCAAAACAGAGCTAAGAATTCCATAAAACCCCAGACTTCTGCAGATCTGTGTTCACTTCTCCTTCCCATGTAGAGCTGTAACTTTTAAGGTGAGTGGCAAATGCTATTTATTTTAACCAGAGAATACTGTTGAGTCACATCCCAAACACTGCTGGCCACAGCAGCTGAAACAAAACTTTAAAAATAAATTTAAAAAAATTAACCAGCCCATGCTTACAAGGCTGGGGCAGAAACAAATATGAACCCCAATTCTTAGAATACAGTTCAGTCTTTATTCTTGGAAAAAGATCACGTTCTAGTCACAGCAAGTAGGATTTTTTTTTAATTGAATCTAATCTTGTTGTATCCCTTCCTCCATCCCATACCCTAACCTCTCCCAAACCCCTATTTTAATTAGTTCTTTTAGAATTTAAAATATTAAGTATCAATTCAGGGACTCTCTACAAACCGTTTGTGAATTAATTTATGAAGTCTCTTATACAACAGTGTTCAGATCTTAATGAAGTCTGTCAGCTTTCTGGTGCAGAACAGCATTATGCATTTTCTGGACCAAGGACAAGGGACATTATTAATTGATGACTGCTGTAATGTAATCCCATTCAAACAGGTGGTGGGTGGACTGGAACTACAGCATTCTTCCAGCTTTTTTGGAAAAAAAAGAGATTTTCCATAAGAGCAAAGAAAGTGGTAATGCTATTGTATCATAGAGCTCAAAATAATTGCAATACTGACAAAAAGATACAGACTCTTGTCTATGAAACAAGCGAGGAGTATATTTTTGGCTGCAGGAAAAAGAAAGCACACTCTGAAGATGCTGGAGAAAATAAAGACTGCTTGATTATGAAGTGAAACCCAGACTGAGGGAGTATCACATCAGAAGTTACCTGCAGTTCCTTCTGTTGGGAAAAAAGGCAGTGACCTAATTCCCATGGAAACAACAGAGATTTCCATAATTGTTTTGGTCTGGACCCACATACATTTGTGTTGTCCTGACAGGAACTGCATTAGTAGCATTTACAGGCTTTGCCTTTTTGCCATATTATCACCATCTTCCCAACACTCATTCTGGAGCTAAGAAACTGTTGTCCCATTGTCCAAACTCCACAGCTGCTTCCGTGCAGTGTCTAGGGAGTGCTCAGGTTCTGATTTTTACCTGCTTACCTGCAGGGACTGCTGGCAGTAGTAGTGTTCAGGAAACACTGGGCCACAGGCAATGCCTGCACTCTGTTCAATTGCAAACCAAAAAGACAAATCCCCTGATTTACAATTCAAAGCACTAACTAAACATCTACCAGCTGGATCATAAGGACTGTAAATCAGCATTCCAGAGCCTTGTGCTTTTCATCTAGTTTGAAAACATTGTTCACGAGATAACAACAGGCAAGCATCTCATATCAATTTTTATTATTATAAATACTATATTGGAACAGAAAGGATGGTGCTGCACATCTGCTTCCTTCTGCTGCTATTTGGCATCTTCTTTCTTGGCTCCTGCTTCTATTTTCAGGGGCTCTGGAGCTGGACGATAGGCAGGAAATGCCTCCCACGGGCTATTCAGATCGAACTTGCGAAATTCCTGAGCTAGCTCCACAGGCTCTGCCACCACCCGTTTGACTTCGTCATCATACCGCACCTGGGACAGCACAAA